GGGGGGAAGGGGGAGCGGGGTGCACGTGGGACCCGCACCCGCGCCGGGCGAAAGCGCAGCTCCCTTCCAACCCCAAGCCAGGTCGGCCCCTTTCCGCTGGGATTCGCAGGGCCTAGGAACAGGGGTCCTCCCCCAGCCCCTCTCCCCTGTTGGAAGATGCCAGGGGTGAAAGTGTTCGCTTTGCCCTTTCTCTTGATCTTGGAGGAAAAGGCAAGAGCTAGGACGGGCACCCGTATGGGCCTCAGACCTTCCTCGCTGCCGAGCGGTTCCCCGGCCACTGACTTTGATCAGCCTTATTAATCCCAGCTGCGCTCTATCTGTTTGTCATTTGCCCCCTTTTCCTCCGGAATCATTATTTATGGCTGGGGGAGGGGAGGGGAAGGTGCCCACCGCTGGAAGGGAACCTGGGAGGGAGTTGCTGAGGGCGGGAAGGTGACTGTGGGTGTTTTCCCTAAAGGTCACCGGAAAGGAGGAGTGGGCAGGGGCCTGGTCGGACCAGCTCCGCTTTGAATCCTTGCTCAAGAGCATTAACTAATTACGGATCAGAGAAATGAAAAAAAAAAATACTCCTTTAAATAACCAAAGGTAATTATAACCCTGTTGTTGACACTAAGGATTAATAATTGATCAGGAGTTACACACAATAAATTGTCAATTTATCTCCCCACAAAAAATGCCAGCGCTCCTGTAGTGTTGTGTTTCCTTTCTGCCCTCTGGGTATTTCCTATGAAGATCCACTCTGTTCCCATTTGGAGGCATCCCTAAACCTCACAGTTTGCTTCTTTAAGAATATTAGATTTAATTTGTGTTCAGTGCCATATAGAACAAAGTAACACTGGGGACACCTTTTTTAAAGACTTTCCCTTATTATCTTGGGTCCAGACTTAAATAAACGAACAAAAACCATTCTTCCTCTTTCCTTTTACCTGGGATTTCAGAAGAACAGAGGAGGGAGATTTCATAACTCATTCTTTTTTAATTATATTGCCAGTATAGTCCTCCTTAATAATATCTTCAGTTTTTATTTTTCCTAGAAAGAGAGAACGCTCTGCCCTCCGTGGAGAGAACAGGAGCCTCTTCTCTGCTTGGAGGTGCAGTGAGCCTACATGCCTCTGTTTGCAGGAGATACGGTGAGAAGGCAGGGAAGCATGCAAATGGGGGTGTCTGCACCCTAAAACAAGCGCTCTCTCCTTTGCCTCCCAAGGCGAGGTCTACCCGCACATCATGAAATACTGGTCCCATGCCGCTCCAGCCAAAGCAGAGGAGCGGGTTGGCATGAGCTGTCCTTATGTCCCACAGAAAGTAATTTTCAGCAACTGGAAAATTGTATTGTCATAGATTACTTCTTCTCATAATAAGCCTTTAAAATATCTGTAGGGATTTGTCACTTACATAAAGGTTTGAAAATACATCAAAGGGACATGTCCCCTTTGCGATTTGTAGAAATTCAAATGATGTTAATCATAATATCCACGTATCACAGGCTGTGTATTGTTCCCAAGATTGCCTCCTGGCTTAACACATTTTTAAAATGTTTCAAATGTTATTTTTGTAAAAAGCTGTGTAAAAACACTTATTTCATAGATCTACTTATACCCTTAATTTGGGGTTAAAATAAATGCTTTTCTTGGGATTGTCAATGCACCTAGGAAAAATCATGTGTTAGATAATCACTGCGTAGTGTTCTTTGGAGGAAACTTTCTAATAAGTCAGTGTATTGCTTAGATTCGAAAGGGTTGCCTCAGACGGAAGAAATGATCGGTTCGGCATGATTCTTTTCCAGACTGACGTCTGTTCACTCGACACTAGCAGTGGAAGTTCAGCGCGCATTTATTCTGCAACGACAGAAAGCTCACGGCCCACTTGACGCTCAGCCTCTGCGGTAAGTCTCTGAAGCCAGTTCCCCGACCCTGAAACGCAGGCGGGCTGGAGGGCGCGTGGTCCCCCGCGCCCCGCGCCGCCCGAGCCCGCAGGTGTCCCGAGGCGGCCCGCGGGGAGCCCCGCCGGCCGGCCCGCGCCCGCCGCACCCCCTCGGGCGGGGCCGCGGCCCCGGCTCTGCGCGCTCCCGCCCTCCGGCCCCGCGCCGGACGAAGGTGCGCGAAGTTCTTTTCAAGTTTCAAAGGCAGTTGCTGGGCAGCTTTGCAGAAACAGTAACTCTTTTATTGGGAACAAATGTTGCCATTTGACGGGCAAGCGCTCCCGGGGCTCTCGGCAGCGCCCGGCCCCCGGGGTCCACCTGAGATGAGAGCGGGGGTTCCGATCAACCAGCCCCCGCGCAGCGCGGGCCGCGGAGGGCCGAGCCCCGCACGGCGACGGACGCGAGCGCCAGGCCCGGCCCGGCCCGACGGCCCCGCGCCCCGCTCGCCAGCGCCCCGCGCCGGGCTGCCGGCTCCGGGAGCTGCAGGCGCCTGTCTAGGCCGGCGGCAGTTCTGATTGAGTAGACTTTAAAGCAAAAATAAAAATCAGACCCACCCCGACCTCCTCCCTCGGTGAAGGTTCTCTCTCTCTCTCTCTCTCCCTCTCTCTCCCTCCCTCTTCTCTTTCTCTCTCCCCGCTCTCTCTCCTCCCTCCTCCTCCCCCTCTCTTCTTCCTCCTGCATCTTTCCTAATGATCTTCACGGAGGAGAGCTCATAAATCACTCTGCATTTCTCTTTTAAAAAGATCCCTCTAAACACCTGCGGGTTTTATGTTCTTAGCACACATTTAAAAATCAAGTTCTCCAGAATGAAATTCAGGTCAGGAGGCAGGGTGAGTAAGTTATGGAAATCTTTGACAATTTGTTGGGCATATAAACATCAAAGAATATTCGTTAGCCTGAGCTAATCTCCTGAGCTGCTTCGAGTTTTCAGCAACTGAAAGGTGCGGTTGTCCAGAGAACCGGGTCGGGCACGGAGGTGGTGTGGGCGCGTGCGCGTGCGGGAACGGATCACATGTCCAGGTAAAACAACCTTCTGTTCCAAAGGGAGGCAGCTCTTACCCAGGCTTCAATTTCTGGACATAGGCACAAAGATCAATTTTTGTTCGGGCTTCCCACTCCCATACTCTATACTTCTCTAAGAGACACAGTGCCTTAATTGTTGATGTGTGGTCATTAGGATGTGTGGTCTTGAAGTGTTTAATTTGTTAGAATTAAAAATTCCATACTTTGCCGTGAAGTCTTCCAAATACTCAAATTATAATATTAACATATGACAGATATTTCTGCCATGTGCATTGTATTCCCTGCTGATTTAGGAAATATGGCTAATATTAATAAAAGCAAACTACCTCATCCCTTAATATTGCGCTTGAAAATGCTATCTGGAGGGGAAAAAATCATTATCTTCATGGAAACTCTATGAAGGTTTTACATCTGAAACAAAAATGAGCAAAGGAGCTCACAGCTCACTTTTCCGCTCACAGACCTCACATTTGTTTTCTTCCAGACTCGCTGCCACAGAGAGCCATGGTTTCCCATGTGAAAAATCTTCCCTGTCACCAAGAAATAGCTCAGCTCCAAACATTTCCATGTCTCTTACTTGGGGAGGCAGGAAGGAGAAAACAAAGCAAAACAAAACAAAACAGCTCTCTACCCTAAAGGTTGGCTTTATGTCTAGCCTCCAAATGCTTATACACCCAAAACCAACAAAATGCCTAAGAAGTAGCAGAAAACCAAAACCTTGATCTACTCCTTTTCTCAGGAGACAAACCACAACTGCTCCTCCCCACTGGCCTGGCTCAGTGTCCAGTTAACAGCCCCCTGGCTTTGCCTCAAGTACCTAAGATTACTTTCAAATACCCTTTCTAACAAGACCCCAGCAAGAGGCCACTAATTTCTACCGCACAAAAAGCCACTGGAGAGAGATCCGTTTGTCAATATCAACTGGTCCAGCAATTTCCCATCCTCAGACACATCGGCCTATCGGAGCTGGCAGATGTTTAGACAAGATTTTATAAATTGTTCAATATCAGCCCATAATGAACCCCAACTGACCATTCCAAAGCAGCTAAAAGCATCCGGGACATCCCCCGCTGGGATCCAATAATGCGCTCATGCTGCAGCATTATTAATCATGGAATAAAACAGATGAACCTCTTGAAAAGTAAGTGTATGATTGATTAAAGGGCAATCTAAGAAGCTATTATTCTTGTTTTATAACCGTAAGTTATATTCACTCAATTTATCTTTGGAAAGGAAATAAATGATTGTTCATCTCTTCTCTGAAATCATATTATATGGATATCCATATAATTTTGCTGAAAATTAAAGTGACAGGTTTGCTGCTTTTATGATACTAATCAAAGGGAATACGCTACTTGCCTACAAATTCTAGACTTGTTCTATAATTAGATGGTGAGCAGCACAATAACCAGGTCATAGTCTAAGGTTGTTTAAACTTTTCTTTTCCCCCAGGGTAAGGGTAAGAGCCACTGAAAGGAAAATAAATCTCTCCTCCCAGATTTTCACCTTGTGTTCAATGTGCGATACAGGAAAAGGAGAGTCAAGGCCCTTAAATCTAAATAATCTATGCCAATGTGGATAATTCCGGCTTTAAAATAAACAATGACTTCCATCAGCAATGTATGGTCAGTCAGAGGTGTGACTCCCTACTAACCTTGCTATCAGGATTCTCCAGCTCACCTTAAGGAGAAGGTTCAATAAGCTAGCATAGAAATAAATATAAAATGGGTCCTAACGCATAAGGATGTCAGGTCATTTTATTTGGCCAAGTTTAAAAAATTGACACTAACAAGTAATCTGCATATTCAGAGCAGAAAAATCTTAATTTTCTTGCAATACGTGTGCATATAAATAATCCAAAACTGGATGTTACTGCCCTACTGTGTATTTCTCTTCCATCTGCCTATCTCCTTTTTTTATGAACGGGAGAAGGGAGAGATTATTTTACACATTTTCATTAAAAAGCCTGAGGTCAGATCACCTGGGGGGAGGGGCTGCTATTACCTGGGGCTTCCTACCCAGATCACTCTCCTAGGAAAAATGAGCCCCAAACACCATATTGTCGTAGACTAGTCTGTTTTTATTTACAATTTAAGATATAAATTAGTAAAGAATTCTTGTTAAACAACCAACAAAGATTGTATAACCAGCAATGTTCAAATAAAAACCAGGCAGAATTTATTTACAAAAAGTTTAGATTCCATTGCAATACAACTTGCATAAATTACTAGAAGCTTTATATCATTATAAAAATAAATATCAAATTTGTTTCCACTTCTTAAGTACTCAAGTTCTTCAATCACATTTTATTTCTACTGTGTACATCTTTTACAAATAAATTTTACAGTAAATCCTATCACACCTATAGAATATATACCGTGGCAATGAAGTGATCAATTCAAGATATCCTGAGAAAAAAGATTGTTTTCAGAAGTCACACATACATTGGGGAAGCTATACTATGCCAACAAATTCACGTTATGTCCAACAAAGGTCTGTTCGGTTAGAGTCTGTGGATCCTTCTCCTTTACAGCGGCACAAGATGCGGTCCGGGTTTAGAGATGTGATTTTTATATCTGTATATTTATGAACTTGGGGAGAGAGAATGGCCTGCTGACTTTTTTTTTTTTTTTCCAAAGCAATTGTGACACCTACCTGTGGACCAAGGAAAAAACCAAATCATCCCAAATCCTTCAGTTGCACACCAACATCATCACAGTATAAAAACGAGTCGATCTGAAGTGATTGTGCCTCTTTCCCGACATCATCCAGATCTGTGATTAGTGATTTTGCCTAGCTGTAAGGTAGGGATTTTTTTGAGATACTGCTGTGAGCCAGGTGAGCCGCAGGGTCCTATCTAGTCCATCTGGACACGGGGGCAGGCCTGATAAACGGCTAGTGCTTCTCGCGTCTCTTAGGCTTACTCTGCAAACACCACCTCTAAAGGGTCCTGATGCCCCAGGCTTCAGCAGCACTAGCTCATCAAAGCCAGTGTCTATTACGCGTCTAGTGTAGTAAAAAATGGTTCCAAACGGCATACAAATACCCCAATTTTAATAATGTATTTTTCAAAGAGAAAACAACAGCTGTGGTGCAATAGACACGTTCCCGTTAAAGGAGCGATCTGTCACAGCAGAACTTGGGTGGGAAAAGAGGGACTCTTAAGAAAACAGAATGGCTACTTTCCCACTTCAAGGAAAAAAAAAAAACACCGAAGAACATTGCAAGGCTCTGTCCTCAGACTCCACGACAAGAAGCAAGAAATATACAGTAAGCAAGTTTACAGTGCAGTTGGTGCTGGAGGCTCCCCCAGGGTGGGAGGCAACCCCAGGGTGCCCACTTACTTGCATTGCTGCGCAGGGCGCCTTCTATAGGTAGGGCTGAACGCCCCCACCAACCACGGTGCAGCCCTCACTGGCATCTGTCAGGGGAGGGGGCAGTTAGTCAGAACCTGACCCCAGAGCCATCTGTCTCCCAGACAGCTGCACACCCACCAGCCCGCACACCCATGCATGCTCGCTCCCTGAACGCACAACACAGTTTAGGGAAACTGTCTGAGCGGCCACTGCTGGAGACAGATTTGGGGCATGTTTCCTGTTCTCATTTTCGTTTCTTGTCTGAGCTCCTTCTGCAGGTCTTATCAACTCATGCCTGAATCATGAGCCACGGGAGCAGACACACAGAGAGGGCAGGGGAGCGGCAGACTCTGGTCCTCTATCTGGAAGAACTAGCGCCTCTCAGAGTTACTACAACGTCGTGTTTCCTTCCAGCCCAAAGCAGAAGACTCAGCAGAGACTCTCCGAGCGGAGAACACACCAAAGCTTCTGCTCAATCTACCGGGAGACAAGCTGTAATTTGCATTTTGTGACAATTTGTTTTTTTGCGGAAACCAATCATGATAATAATACCAATCGTAACCGTAATAGTAAGTTAAGTAACATGGAAGTAATAAAGGGCTAAGCCTCATTGCAAGGCAAGGGTCGCCCTGCCCTCTCCTCCCCTTTTCAGGGCTACCGCCGCCCCCTGCACCTCCCCTAACTTCTGGTCAGAGTGGCGCCTTTCGCAACAAAGGCTCCCTCCCGAGCCAGGCCCAAGGGTCTCCCCGGGCCCTGACCCAGCCCTTCTCGGAACCGCTGACTAATCGGGCCCGCCCGCTCTCCCTCCCCGGAGGCCCCGCGCGCCGCAGCCGCCTACCTTTCTTGGGCTCGTAGCCGCCGCCCGGGGGCCGGTAGTGGGGCTCCGGCGGGTGCGCGCCCGCCTTGCCCGCGTCGCTGGCCGCCTTGGGCGCGGAGTGCAGCGCCTCTCCGGGGGCCGCGGCCGCCGAGCTGTACCGCAGGAGGCCCTGGCCCTGCAGCGCCGCGTTCAAGTTCCCGTAGTTTGTGTAGTTGCCGTAGAAGGGCGACGTGTAGTAGAGGTGGCGGCCGAGCAGCGGCGAGGCGGGGTAGGGCGAGCCGCCCGGCGGCGCCCCGGCGGAGGCGGGCGCGGCGGCCGCGGGCAGCCCTGGCGGCGCGCAGCCCGGGCCCAGGCTTGGCTGCTTGAGGTCCGACGTGGCGATCTCGGCCAGAGACCACAGCTTGGGCTTGCTGGCGGGCTGCGGCGCGCCCGGCGACGTCCGGCTGCCCAGGGGCATCTTGCCGCCGCCGCCGCCGCCAGCGCGGGGCGCGGCCTCCGGCGGGGGGCTCAGCAGCGGCGCCTCCACGCCGGTGAGGGGCGACGAGGTCACGGGCTTGGGCGGCGCCACGTCCCGCTCGCCCTCGTCCTCGTCGTCGTCGTCGTCCTCCAGGTCGTCGTACTTATCCTTGCACTCCGAGCCCGACTCGCACAGGGGGTCCCCGGCCCGGCACGGCAGCTTCTCCCCGTCCGACTCGGCTGAGCACGAGTGGTCCGTGAGCGAGTCGACGTGCAGGCTGATCCCTGCAGGGGCGCGGGCAGGGCTGTGGGACGCGGCGACGCGCGGGCCCCGGGCGCCCTCCTCCCCACGTGATCTCCCACCTCCACCCCACCCCAGCCACGTCCTCGGGGGAGCACAGCCTCCCCAGGAAGTGCCCGAGGACCGACTCGGTCGGCCCCCCGCGCACCTGGGGGCGGCGGGCAGCGCCTTCCCCGACCTGGGCTCCGCGCCCGCCTGGGAAGAAAGCTCCCCGCAAGACCTCGCGCCAGCCGCGGCCCCGCTCACCTTCGTCCTCCGCCGACGTCTCTGTGCCCTCCTGCGCCTTGTCGGGACTCTCCCCCTTGCTCCTTGCAGCGTCGCCCTCGTCCTCGTCCTCATCCTCGCTTTTGTTTCTCGGGGCCCACGTCATCTTGTTCTCCTTCTTGAGGCGCCGGCGCGCGTTGGCGAACCAGGTGGAGACCTGCGTGAGGGTCATCTTGGTGATGATGGCCAGCATGATCTTCTCGCCCTTGGTGGGGTAGGGGTTCTTGCGGTGCTCGTTGAGCCAGGCCTTGAGCGTGGCCGTGGCGTCCCGCGTGGCGTTCTTGCGGTACGCCGGGTCGTTGAGCTGGTACGGGTAGGCCGCGCTGCCGTACGGGTGGTAGCTGATGGCGCCCGTCATGCCGGTGGTGTGGGCGTCGTAGGGCGCGCCCTGGAACCAACAAGAGCCTGGTTAGCGGGGTGTGCGGGAACCTGGCCCTCACCGGCCCAAACGTGACCCCTCCGCCCTCCCAATGCCGCCTTTTCCAGGGTGAGTCCCGCGCTGGAGCCTTATTGCCCGCAGCAAATGAGCAGAAGAAAACGCAGCGCATACTTTAAAACAGGCTGCTAATCACGAAAACGCTGCAGTTCTAATCTCGAATTTTTGAACTATTTCACTTTCCTAAAATGACGTATCTTCCCCCCAAATATCCCTGAGCTGCGGGCACAGATGTACGCAAACATGCACGCACACGGACCCACAGGTACTTTCTTGATATCTAAATTTCTCTGGCTGGCTCCCCCTACTCCCCCTTCCCCGCCCTTATATGGTTAAAAAACCACCCCGGAGCCCCCGCTCCGCTATTCACCGCTCTAAAGCTCCGCAAATCCAATTTGCAACTCAGAAGCCAGTCACCGTTTCGAATTCTTCAAATACGCGGTAATTAGCATTTTAATTCAGCCTTTAACGTTTAAATTCGAGACATTTGCAGCCTCCGCCAAGGCCCCAGCTCCGATGTCGCTGCCCCCGAATTCCACCGAGGGCGGGCCATGGCGACAACACCCCCCCTCCCCGTAACGGCCTCAATCGCCCGAAACTGGCGTCACCACCAACGGGCCGGGCCCAGCTGCGGAACCAGAGGCGAGCGGGCAGACCCCAGGTCGGGGAAGCAGGGGCTACTCTCCGTACGCAGGGACTGAGACGGCAGTTAGGGTTGCCGCACGCCCGCCGACACGTTTTTGGAAAGCACGGCCTTGTGCGACAGATTAAGGCCAAGATCCTGTCGCGCCTGGCAGGGCCCCTGACCTGAGCTGCCGCCGAGCCTCCGCTCCCTCCCCCCAACCCGGGGACCCCCAAGCCCTGCAAGTGAACCCGAAGCGCCCGGCAGTCGCCCCGGCCGCCCCAGGGGCGCCGAGCCTCGCTCCCCGGGCCGAGAGAAGCGAGCTCCCGGCCCGCTCTGCACTCCTCGCCCGGCTTCGGCGCGTGAACGAAGGACAACCCAGCACGGATTCCCGACCCCAGCGGTGTCGCACTTCTCAGGCTCTTTGGGAACATCACCCCGAAAGCCAAGGGGAAGCGGTGCGGACCCCCGGTGTGAGGGACGTCTCCATGGAGCGGTCTCTCCCTCCGGCCTCCTGTCCCGCCCGCGGCGCGGCGGCCCGCGTCCGAGACTCCGGAGCCACCGCCCACGGCACTTCCCCGCGCCCTCGCGCCCCGATCGCGGTCCCGTCGCCCGGGTGTCCCGCGTCCCCTCCCACCCGCCTGCGCGCGGTTACCATGTAGGACGGGAAGCCGGCGGCGGCGGCGGCGGCGTCGGCCGAGTACTGCAGCGGGCTGCCGAAGCCGGTGGCCGCCTGTGCCGTGAAGGCCGCGGAGCCCGGGTAAGGGCTGAACGCCGAGCCCGACGCCGAGCGAGCCAGCTCCTCGCTGCGCGGCGCCGCCAGCGCCGACGCGCCGTACGCCGGGCACGAGTAGAGCGCCAGCGAGCCGGGCGCCTGGTACAGGTAGCCCTGCGGGTAGGACATGGTGGGCGCGGGGCGCGGGGCCCGCGTCACGCCGAGCAGCGGGCAGGGCGCGCGGCGCCCTCCATCCACGCCCGGCCGGGGCGCGGCGCGGCGGCGGGCGCGGGGGCCCCGGGCCGAGGCAGGCCGGCCCGCGCACTAGCCCGGGAGGCCCGCGGGCCGCGGGAGCGGCGGGGCGGCGGGGCGGCGGCGGCGGCGGCGGCGGCGGCGGCGCGGAGCCGGTGGGCGCAGCCGCGCGCCAGGCCGGCGGTCGGGGTTTGGGGGAGTCTGGAGTCGGGAGTGAGGAGTTGAGGAAGGAGCGCTCGAGTTTCCGAGGGACATTGGAACGCGAAGCTGTCCGTCACGCGCTCATCTGCATATTCGGGCGCCCGCCCCCTCCCCTGCTCCGCCCGCTCCGCCCGCTCCGCCCGCTCCCGCTGCCAGGCCGCGGCCGGGGGAGGGGCGGGGAGGGGAGGGCGGAGGAGGAGGCGGGGGGGGCGGGGGAGGAGGAGGGAGGACGCGCAGGCTTTTGTGGCGCAGCCGCCTCCCGCGCAGCACCAGCCCGCGGCCCGCGGCCCCGCAGCCTGGCCGGGCCGAACAGCTCGCCGCGGTGCGCACCCCCTCCCACTCGCACGTACTCCCAGCGCCCCCCTCCCCAGCCCGCCAGCCGGCAACCCCATCCCTCCCAAGCCAGCAACCCCTTGCCGCCCCAGTCACCTTCCTCAACGCCCCCCCCCCCCCCAAAGCCACTGCTCCACCCCCCGGTCGGCCCGCAAGGACCAGGCAGAGGCCGCCCGCAATCGGGCCGGTCTGGTCCACCGGGGGGACGAACTGTACTCGTCCCCTCTGCGCCACGAAGAGGCAGGCCCAGGTGACTGCGCGCGTGACTCCAGGCTCCGGGCCGGGAGCCGGGGGCGAAGGGAGGGCGGGATGGGAGCGCCCGTGGCCCAGGTCCTCCTGGGGGTGGCGTGCGCGGCTCTCCCTTCCACCTTCCTCCGTCGACTCTGCCTCACCGCGTGTGAGGCTCCCGCGTGGCCTCGAGTCTGGTCGCCTGTCCCGCGCCTCCCAGCGCGTCCCTGCGGGACCCGGATCCGGGTCCTTGACTGCGAACTGCCAGGAAGGCCCAAAGGTGAGCTTTGTGCCCCGAAGTCCAGAGTGGTAGGACTTTGCGCTGTTGAGAATGTTCTGACACACGCCGCCAATGTTGCTCCCGTGAAGATGCCACCCCGAAAGGTTTTATTTGATTTTATTTTAATAAGTTGACGCCTCTTTCGGACAAGTGTCGTAAAGCATTCACGAGAATGCCTGTCACCGGACAGCCCGCCTCTGGCACGACGTGAAGCCTCGCTGTCCCTTGGGAAGGAAGGAGAAAGAGGCTGCGGGCACGGACGCCATCAGCAGCACAGGTAGCTCAGGTAACTTGCGGCTCCGGAGGTGCCTCTCGGGCCCAGAGGCAAGATGCTTAGTGAGGAGCCCTGGGACCCCAGCCCCAGAATACCTTTCACTCCTCAACCCTTCTCCATCCCTCCCCCACCTGGACCCGAGGATGTGGGCGCCTGTGACAAGGGAGGGCGGTCGCCGATGGGGGGCGCTCAGGAGGTCCACGGGGTGTAGGTGTGTCCTGGACAGGGACGCCCACCCAACAGGTGCCTGTTCCCCGGAGGCCCTCTCGGATGGGTTACCTGTAAGGTGAAATTGCTGCAGCGGGGAGCTCAGGCCTGCAGCACTCTCTCCCGGACGCCTCCCCGCACCCTGCCCCGCCAGCCCTGTTATGGACTCATGTCGAGGTCCTGCTGGTGCTCCCCAGGCAAGGCTGTGGCATGGCCATCTAGAGGCTCCAGCCCAGGCCTGTTCACAAGGAGAACCTTCAAGACACAGTGAAGCTGCGTTTGTCTTTCTCTAGGTCCGAGGTAACCAGTTGCAAACCGAGGTGTTGGGCTTGGGAAGAACCCATTCTCCTTGGCCTGCAGGCATGGGACTCCTAGTAGATGCATGTTACCACCAGCCCCCACCAGTCTTCCCACCCCTGCCTCCCCAGTGTTCCCCCCTTCCTAAAAACCAGTCCCTGCATCCACTATACTTTAACTTTCACACCACCCCCAAACACACCACTTCTCCCACACTGGGCTACTTGGAGGACCTAGCCCAGCAGTTTCAACAATGCTGCCACCCCAGGAGGGCTGTCCTAATTCAGTGCAGGGTAGACACTTCACACCGATTATTGTAGTGTCAGAGGAAAGAGAAAAGTAGTGTGTGTGTGGGGGGGGGGAGTACTCCAGTCCCCTGGAGCATACCATTGACAGAATCTATGATATTTTTGGTCTTCCCAAGAGAGGACTGGGTCAGGTAGAGGCCATAAATGAGAGTCACACACTGAATGACAAACATAAACAGCAACAGATCAGATTGCAGGCTTTTGGGTTCGCTTTCAATTAGATAGTTTAAGCGAAAAAAATCAGGTCTAATTTTTATCTGCAAGGATGACTGGCCTCCAGTATTTCCATTTCTAAAGGCCAGTTCCTGCTGTGTTTCATTAGCATTTGGGGCTCGCCCCCTCACCCTCCCTCTCTCTCCCTCCACCCCCCTTGGGCCTGATCTCTGCCAGGGGCAGAAAAGAAAACATTGAATTATTACAAAAACATCCCCAGTTTGGAGCAGGAGCGTATGCTCCGGATACACTCGATTTTGACATCAATTAAGTATATAAGCAGACAAGCCCACGTGGCTTTGGAGGGGCTCGAGTCGCCCTGGGTGCATCTGCACAAACGCTGTCTCCTCTTCCCCTCTTTAGCTCGTGCTGCTGATTCTAAAGACAGCCTCTTCCTCGAGTGTATTTCCCCCCAGCAATTACACTCCTCCACTGAAATCTAAATTTTCCATACTGCTGCCCGCTACTAATAAAAACCGTCTACCTTGCACTATTAAACAGTCGAATCGCACTACATGCCGTTTTTATTGGTAGTGACTGTAGCAAATTAAAATGCCTACACAGAGACATTAAAACTTACGCTGCGCATTGTTATTGGAATATATAAACTCCGTTTCACTTTAAAGCTCCCTGGTTTTTTAAAATCACTTTTCCTTTTCTTAGATTAAAGTTGGCTTGGTCTTCCAAAATAAATCAATGGGGAAAACAGGCTGCAAGTGCGGAGGCTCGACGCGGTGGCTCCGCACGCGGCCGCCTGCGAGGGTGGCCTGGCTTGGCTGGAAGTCCGTCTCCGGTGACCGCGGAGAGCGCAGGCCGCGCGAGGAGCGAGCCGCTGCGGCGCGGGCCCCGTGGCCGCCTCTCCGGGACCGCAGGGACTGGGATGCTCAGCCCACGCGCGACGGGTGTCCAGGCTGGCGGCGCCGCCCAGGCGTGGCAGCCACTTGGCCGCTCTTGTTTTCGGTCGCCGTCCGAGCTGGAACGGCAGAGACCGGTAGGCGCGCAGGAAAACTGGAGAGCTGCTTTGCAATCGCGATCACTTTGTGACAATTACAGGACAACGCGCGGTTTCAGGCTTGCGGTGGGCCCTCCCCTCTCCCCCGTGTGCCTTTGAAAAAGTAAGTTAATACTGTCACAGTTTTTGTTTCTTGTCCTCACAGTGGCCGATGCAGGTAGAACGAGCCGGCGTGGACATGCCCGTTTCAGGGAGCCGGGGATTCCCGCGAGGCTGAGCGGGGAGAAGTGCGTGGAACGCGGGCTCGGGCCCGAGGGCCTCTCTCCGGAAAGCGGCTGGCTGCGCAGGCCGAGGCGCCTCGAAGACACGGTCCGTCCTGGGCTCTCGGGCGCGGGGGAGGCCGGGGAGCGACGCGGGCCCTAAAGTCGTGCGTGCGGGCGGCGAGGGGGCGCTGTGGCCCGCGACTGCGGCCTCGTCCCTGCAGCGGTGGCCCTGGTGCTGTCCCCGGCCACTGATGGGCGGTGGGCGCCCCAGCCCTGGCCCGACCTACCTTTTCCCACGTCGGTTTAATTTGGGGAAGAAGGAAGATTATGCCGCGGCACTTTAATAAAATCAAAGCCACGCAGGAACTTATTCTCATTCTGTTTTATTACTCTGGTAATCCGCGCAGTTTGTAAAGAGTTTGGTGGGAAAGGAGCCACCGTTGGAATGCGTATTTTTTTTTTTATTGGGGGCGTTCAATTAAGATTAAATACACACATTTTACATGGGTCCCCCTTAATGCAGTAACTTTTACAACGTAAGGAGTTTCGGTGTATCAGAGTACTTTCCCACTGGGTTCCTAATCAAGGATCCCTCCTGTCCCAGCACTTCCTGGGATCCTGGAGGGAGTGCAGCAAGAACGAGTCCAGGGTCCTGAAGTTTGTTTCTGCAATAGCCTTTGTTTCCCTCTCTCCCTGTTGTTTGCAAACCGAAATATGCTGCCATATATTGTAAGTGCAGCTCAAAATGAAACGTAAATATTCCTCTAGCGCAGTTGACAGCCCTCTCGGTTTGCTTCGAGCTCGTCTGACTGGATTTCAGATGCAACGGTGTTGTGAGGTTCTCCAACCCGTTTCGGGGGCTGAGACAGATCCCTGGAAAGCAAGCGCGCAGGAGAATCCTTAGCAGGCAGAGAGGTCCCCGCCACCCCCGGCCTGGAGCTGCCTGGAGCCTCGCAGGAGATGACCCGAGACGGCAGCCTCTAGAGACCAGCGGGCACCCCCTGGGGTCGGGACCCCAGGACCGAGGGCACTCTTCTCTGACTTTCTAAGAACCGCATTTTGGGCTACTGGCTCTTCCCTACGTGACTGACTCTTGAGCTCTCGGTGCCTGCGAGGTCTCTTCCTTGCTGCCTCGTCCCTCCCTGTTTCCTTTAGTGGGCAGCAAAGTGTCCATCCTCTCCTTGGCGCCCCGCCTCCGACGTGCTTCCTGAGGGTCTCTCCCCATTTCTCCGCATCTTGCGGACCCGGTGTCTGCCCACTCCACCCTCCCTGCTCTCCCCGCTCCTCTCCCGCCCCTCCTCGACCTGGCGCGCAGCCCCTAGGGCCTGGGGGCGGGGGGGAGCCCCGCGCCCAGTGAGGGAGGAGAGAGGAGGCGACGCGCAGTAATGCACGGGACTGGGTTCCATTTCGGGAGACCCGTTTCGGGAGCAGCCTTGGTTGGCCGGCGACCGTGGGAAGGACAAAGGTCGGAAAGTCCGCCTTTGTGCCCTCCCCGAGCGCTCGCAGGCAGACCCCGACCCCCGCACCCAGCCGCGGACACGCGCACGCGCACGCGCACACTCGCCCCGCGCCGGCTCTTCGGCGCAAGGGGAACAGAGGAGCAGTTGTTGGGTTTGGGTTTTGTTGTGTTGTGCTTTGGGTTTTAGGTGGTTTTTTTTTTTTTTTTTTTTTTTTTAATGTTTCCGCAGGACAGTGTTTGGAAGAACTTAGCTCACCTTCCTCCTCGCCCCTGCGGCAGCTGCTCCCGGCTTTGTCACCGCTGTAACAACGGAGCGCACCTCCGTGGCGTCCGCGGCGGCGCGTGCGGCGGGGAGCGCGCCCACGACAGTGCGGAGCCCGCGGGAGTCACCTCCGGGCGGGCGGGAGCAGGTCGGACTCCGCTCGCAAGAATACACTGGCGAAGGAAGATTTTCTGCAGTCTTTTGACCATTACTTTTAGCCGACAAGAGAAGCTCTGGAGAGCATTTGTCCGGGGCCGTGTTGCAGATCTCTTGGCCAATCTTACTTCGGTGTGTACCCCCAAACAGCTCGACCAGACCGCTAACTGGGGGGGCACATGGCACGCGCAATGGCGTGCCTGTCCCCTACCAAACGCTCTCGCAGGCCACGACACACCTGGCATTGCTTAGGTAGGGAAGGGAGGAGGGTTTTGTTTGGTTTGGTTTTCCCTTTTCAAAAACCGGAGAGAATGAAGAAGCGTCAATTTGACAAATTGCGTTAAAAGTAAAAACAAAAACAACTTCAGTTGGACAGCATGTAAATGGCTGACACCCACCAGGGAGAAGATATCTGAAGCACCTGTAAATATGGGAAACACTGCTATACAGAATCAGGAAGAATTCTGACAGTCAGTGGGTGAAGACGAGCCATTCGGTGGGAAAATGGGCCGGAGATAGGAACAGACTCTGCACAGAGAAGATCCGAAAAAGCGCAAAGATGCCCCAGCTGCCTAGAGATGGGGAGGTCAGACAGTGGAGCAGATGGGACTTTCCATCCACTGGATGACACCAAACTAGGCCCAGAGGATGCAGACAGGGAGCACTCCCTCATTGATGTGCTAGTTGGAATTACTGCAAAGAAACTAGGGAGATATTTGGCAGCATCTGGGAGAGCAGGAGATGCCCACTCCGTCTCAACTGCAATCCCTTGCTTCCCTCTCCACCACAGAGAGAATCTCCAGGAGGCCCTGCGGCATTGTTTGCAAAGTGCAAGACTAGAAACCCCAAATCGCAATCAGTACAGGCCCGGATAAAGAATTTGTGGCATATTTCACGGAATAGAATGGTCCCCAGGGATGAATGTGAATGAAGGTAGTTCTCCTTGTATCAACATGAATAAGTCCTGAAAGTATAAAGCTGAGTGAGGAAAAATAATAACTAAAAAGAAAAAGGATACAGGCAAGATGACGCTGAGGGTGGACGTTTACAACCAACCACATTCAGTGCTATTTACAGGCAGGGCTGGGGGGCTGCCGGCTGGGAAGGAAGGTCTCCACTCCACTGCAGGGCACACTCGCCCAGTACCTCTGAAGAGGGGCAGTGGGCCTGGGAGGCGGGCCCGGCACTATTAGTGATGTTTTATTTCTGAAAAATATATCTGTTGTAAATGTCACAAATGTCACAAAATGTTAATGATTAAAAAAAATGTTAATGATTATTAACTTGGGATGATTGTTCCATGCAATTATATTACTCTGTACATTTTTATTGTGTGAAAATATTTTGTTTTGAAAATTAAAATGAAAATAAGAATTAGTATTTTAAAAAATGTTATATCACAGAAGTATAATTTGCTATTTTCATTGTTTATTTAAAAAAATTCTTAAAAATTTATATCCTTCATGTCTTTTTTCCTCTCTCCATTTCCCTACCCTTCAGAAAAAATTAAAAAAACAAAAAACAATGTCTTGGGTTTGCAGTGTAGACCTTTAAATGGATTGTCACCTGGGTGTATGTTTTTGTGCAATTATCCAGAGCATGGCAGGGGGACAGGCTTCTTGGGCAACAACCTCCCCAGGAGCCCTGTGTCCTCCATCTGGGATCTGCAGAACCACTGCCTCACTCTGTGGGAGGCAGGGCCTGGCCCCTGGCTTTCTTCATGGTCATGGGCACCAAGGCCTCCTGAAGGAAAGGACAGCACCCAATGAAGCCTGGCTGCCCACCGGCCACCTGCATGCTTCTATAGGGAGAGGCATGCCTTTACACTGTGTGGAATTCTGCATCTTCTCTTGATGTCACAGTGAACATATTTTAGAAATTCAAATCAAGATTAGAGAGAAGGGCTGGGGGGGCAGCAGTTTGGGGGAAGGCAGAGTGCAGCCTCACAAGGAAAACGGAAGAGAGTCAGTGCCCAGGGAGAAGGTGCGTGCTCTGGCAAGCTGTGGCTGATCAGGCACCTCCTCACTCCTGAAGGAGAGAGCTCCTGCCTTTCTGGGCCTAAGGTCTTTCGAGAAAGGACTCCCTCTCACCACTGCAGCCAGAGGGATCTGGATCTTCAGATACAAGTCTGCTCAAAGCCCTTGCTCAGTGGGAGAGGCTATGAGGCCAGGTCCTTTGGCCTGGCCTGGTCAGTGATTACAGTGGTCTGCAAATATCATTCTGTTCCTCAGCCTGTTCTGAGCCAGGCCAGGAGGAGGGCATTATTTCCTGGGAACCACCGGGCTTCCAAAAGCTTCCCTGTGCCAACATGGCCCAAAGCCCTTTGGAACTTGCTTCTGCCCGCAGCTGTAGGCTGGCAGCCCCCTTGCTCTCTGCTCCAAGCACCCTGGCCCACTCACCTTTCTGTCTGCAGCCACACTCCCTCCCACATCGGGCCTCTACAGACTGCTTCACCCCATAAGTCTCCTCCCCATGGTTCTCATTCACCTCTTCTCCTTGGGAGCTGCTGGTGTTCCAGTATGTTGGCTCTCTGACCTCATTCCCACCCACCCCCCCAAGCCTGGGAAAGTCATGAGCAGGAAACAAGTATTGATGAAATGGATGAATGAATGGCTCACTCCTGGTTATTCATTTTTACTTCTAAAAGGCACAGCAAGGAGTTGAGGGAGATAAACAGAAAACTGACCCAGACACTTGCTTACATTTCACCACTGCTCCCCCCTTGGAGATTCCACTGCACCTGAGCATGGTGGAGTGCAGGCAATGGGGGAAGATCTGGTGACTCCTCAGGAGCCCTGGCTCTCTGATAGAAGACACGATCAATTTTGGATGTTAAACTTGAGGACCTAATATACACTCACATTTAAAATAACATTGAGTTCTACAAAAATTCCTGAGTTAGCAATCAGCTCCAAACCTCGCATTCCTTGAGGAAAGTGGGCATGCGTTTTTAGTTTTGCATCCCAAATGATCTGTGCAGTCCCAGTGCATAGCAGGTGCTCACAATGATTAGTTGGGCAACTGAATGAATGAGCGTTGACATTTGGGAAAAGGAAACTTGAACATAAGCAAACTGAACGTTCGCGGTATTTTTACATAAAATATCCAGGGTGGGTAGGAGTTACAGTATTTAAGCAATTAATTTGATCCCAGCAAGATTTTTGTAGATACAGGCAAACCAATTCTAACATTTATTTTTAAAGTCATGGTCATTAGTATAGCTAACATGATTTTGACAAAGAATAAAGTGGGAGGAATCAGCCTACTTGATTTCCAGACACTACATGGCTACAGGAGTCAAGAGTAGGTGCTTGCTGGTAGAGGAATAGACAGGTAGATCATTGGAGCGGAGTCAAGAGCCCAGAGATCGATCCGCACAAATATGCCTGATCTATTTTGATGAAGATGCAAAATAATTCAATGGAGAAAAGTTAGTCTTTCTGACAAATGGTGTGAGAGTAATTGTACATCCCTAGCAAAACATCAACAGAAAACATGTCAACCCAACTCTCACACCTTATACGATAATTAACTAAAAATGGATCACTGACTTAAATGTAACTGTAAGACCTTTAGAAAAATATAGAAGAAAATCTTTAAGATCTAGGGCTAGGCAATGAAGTCTTAGGCCAGACACCAAAAGCACATCCGTAAAAGGAAAATTTGATTAATCGAACTTCATCCAAATTCAAACTTTTGTTCTGTGAAAGATACATTTATTTATTTATTTATTTATTTATTTATTTATTTATTTATTTTTGTGAGAGTTACTTTTAAAAAGAATGCAAAGATGAGATGCAGACTGGGGGAAATATTTGTGAACCATATATCCAACAAAGGACTAGTATCTAGAATATATAAAGAATACTAAAAAAAAAAAAAGAAAAGAAAAAGAAAAAGAAAACAATGACAGAAGACAATCAATTAGAATTTGGACAAAAGACACAAAAAGACATTTCACTAAAGAGGATATACAAATGACAAATAAGCACATGAAAAGATGTTCATCATCATCAGCCACCAAGGAAATGCAAATTAAAACCACAATGGGAATGCATGCACCCATCAGAATGGCTAAAATAAATAAAAGAGTGACCACCTCAACTGCTGGTGACCATGTGGAGAAATTGGATCATTCTCACATTGTTGGTGGGAATAGAAAAGGGTACATTCACTCTGGAAAACATTTTGGCAGTTTCTTATAAAACTAAACGTGAAACTACCACGAAGTCTAGCAATTGCATTCTCGGGCATTGGTCCCAGAGAAACAGAAACTTATGTTCACACAAACCTCTGCACACGGATGTTCATAGCCGCTTTATTTGTAATAGAAACTGGAAGCAGCCCAGATGTCCTTCCGTGGCCGAAGGGTTGAGGTACTACTCAGCAATGCACAAATTGACCTGTGGGTCCACATGGCAAGCTGGGTGCATCCCCAGAGAATCAGGCGGTTGGACCAAAGCCAATCCCAAAGGTGATTTACTGCATGATGCATAGAATTTAAATTAAAACTGTATCGAGACCTTTTTGAATTAGAAGATCTTAGAAGTGGGGATCAGTGTGGTGGCTGCCATCACTTGGGGACGAGGGTGGGGGAGGTGAGGGAAGTGGGCATGTTTATGAAAGTGGAAGGGAGGCACCCTTCAAGTGATGGCATTGTTCAGACCATGTGCAGTTCAGAGACCCTAAGGGACACACAGAGCCTGACAGCTAAAGACAATGTGAGATCCGTATTATGCGCAGTCCCTTCTGAGCACAGTGAGGACAGGCCGTAAGGCCACGCCCTTCTGGGGACACGGAGCCGGGAGCAGCGTCATGCACGCTGCGAGGAGCTGCAGGAGCACCAGGAGGACACAGTGATGATGGTAACTCTAAGAGGGGACATTGCTGCATTGTTCTTTTACTTTAAGGGATGCCTAGTGGGGAAGATTTGTAACATTACCAGGGGGTAAAAATCGGTTCTATGAACTACAAAATTTGGCAGGACTTTTGTTCATCTGTTTTTTTAAAAAATGCTATTATTGTGTGCAGAAAGATTTGTCAGGATAGAAACAGATTTCCAAGTAGTTATTTATGAGGAGTGAAATCTGTAGCAGGAATAGGGAAAAAATTTACATTTTGTCACATGTATTTTTTTTTTACCTTTCCATATGTATTTGGTGATTTTAAAGTTATTTATGAAAACGATGAATCGGGTATGTACTATAATGGAACAAGAAGAAGAGCAAGTCGTTGTATTTGTTATCTTGTGAAATCTCTGACTTTTCCAGATTTTTATATGACTCTCTGAGAAACATATTTATGGTTAACTTTTATATATAGATTTTGAAATAAGGTAGACAATCAATTACATCTCAGATAAGCATATACATATTTCTAATTTATATTTAGCATCAAAATATTTTTATTTATATCTCTCCCCATATATTGAAAGTCTTGTTTCCTCAGCATTGTATATTTATTTATTTGATTTATTTTAAAATATACATAAAAAGTTGCAAAGCTATATCAACATTACTAATAACAATAAGTTCATTGAATATAGTTTTTTTCTCTGCAAATCTTTTTGTATCTGGAAGATATCACATTCAGGATGGACAAAGCACTGTGTTCAAAATTACTTGAAAATATTATATTATCCTGTCAATTTTATACACAGATTTTATGTATTTCTCTCTATGCTAATTTTAGAGCTTTTCCATTTTAGACTGGATTCTATTTTTTGCAAAGTAATTTCCATGGTTTAAAAGTCATGAACAGTAGGGGCGCCTGGGTGGCTCAATCAGTTAAGCGTCTGCCTTCGGCTCAGGTCGTGATCCCAGGGTCCTGGGATCGAGTCCCGCATCAGGCTCCCCACTCCGCGGGAAGCCTGCTTCTCCCTCTCCCACTCCCCCTGCTTGTGTTCCCTCTCTCGCCGTGTCTCTCTCTGTCAAATAAATAAATCCTTAAAAAAAAAAAAGTGATGAACAGTATACTCAGCAAAGTCTTGATTCTTTCCTTTCTCTTTATTTGTCCCACCCTCCATTTGTCCATCCTCATTAGCTTCTCACAGGTCTTCCATGATGTTTTTTTGCTAACGTAAGCAAAGATATGCCTGCCTTCATGAGAATAAGTAAATCCTTTTCCTTTCTTTCTTAGAGACAAGATAGCCTATTGTATATACTCTTCTACACCCTGCTAGTTTTCTGAACAATAAATCAAGGAAATCACTACAAATTATCTATAGAGATTTTCCTCATTTTTTCAAAAATATCTACATAGCATTCATTTTGGGAAAGCGCTGTGGCTATTCGACCGGACCCCTAGGAAAGACATTTGTGTTCTCAGAAGCTTTTGCTTTTCCAAACAGTGCTGCAATGTGCAGCCTTCCACAGAGGCAGGCCCGTATCTGTGAAGGCACAGAATCAGGATAGAGTCTAAGAAGTGGGGTGACTGGGTCACGGGGTGAATGAGGAGTTTTTCCAGGGATGGAAAATGACTGTCCCATTTATGTCGC